ACAAGCCCCACTGGCTGTTACTTCCAGAAACGTGGTCTACTCAACCGAAGCGTTCATCTAGTCTCACTGGCTAGCACCTCTGGGAGTGAAGTCTATTGCGCTCAACCACAGCGCTCGACCAGCCCACTTGGCCAGCCTTTCCAGGAGTAAAGTCCACAGTGTTTGACCATCCCACTTGGCTAGTCCTTCCAGGAGCAAAGTCCACAGTGCTTGCCCAGCCCAACTTGCTAGCACCTTCAGGTCGACCTACATCTTCCACTGTCCCGGTTTCATTCACTTCCCTAGCCTGCATCTGGTTACTTGTCACCTTTCAGCCAGGCAGACTAAAAGATGGGAAACTCCATTTAATGGGAGGGTCAACTGCTGTAGTTTGGCGCCAGGATTGTAGATGGCGCCAAGGTCCGTGACAATTAGCATGCATGACGCAGTGGAAGGTGAGTGATTGGACATTTGATTCAAGGAATATTTACATTGATGTTTATGTTGTTGCAGCCTTAGGCTGGATTCCTTGTGTATATTTATATATATTCTAGGGCTGATAGTGCTATATTGTATTACAAGATTAACCCACTAAGTGAGGTTGGTAGCATTAGTGGCGAGCCAGGAGTTGGGCTACCACTTGATATAAGCAGCTGATAGAGTCCTGATGGGATTAAATGCAACCTGACTATAATAGCATAGAGTGTTGGAGTCATATTATTATTCTTGTATGTTTGTTCTACATGTTCACTGTCTAAGTAAATGTATATAGTTTCTGGTGTTTGCCCATGTCCTAGTGAGGCTTCCCAGAAATTAGGAGAGAAAGAGAGAGAAAGAACCACAGCTGTAGATAGGGTGGTACAGAATTATAATTCAAAAAAAGGGGGAGTGAGGAGGTCATACGAACCAAGGAGAGAGTGGGAAGTCACAGTGGCTCGAATTGGGTGTGTACACGTGACAACGAGGCCAGTGTTGGAGCCGCACCCCCTAAATGTGTGATGCTGAGCCCCTCTCCAAGAGCAGGAAGCATACAAGGTGATCTCCTAACCAAAGTACAAGCACTCTACGGGTTTTGGTTGGTTATATGGAAAGGACGTACACACCCTATGTACAACACACCTTATAATATTTGGGGGCCTTTGTCTGGGAGAGTGAACTGACACACCCACACCCTGTCCGGGAGTGGATTGATACACCCTTTGTGGAAATAAGTTGACTTTGTGCCCGCAGGTGTATATTCTCTCTCTTGGGAAGACTCACAGGACACGACGGATAAGGTGCAAGCGATTGTGGAGTCAGGTAGGCCTGAGGACTTCGAAGGTTGCACCAGGGATCAGTTGAAACAGCAGAAAGATGTGGCATCAGGGTGAAGGCATTTAAATTGGCTGGGATGAAGGATGAGATCCGGAGGCAACTCAGAGCCAAGAGTGAAGCAACAGAACAGGGAGCCAAGAAAGGAGCTGAAAGTGGAAAGAAGGATGATGGGCAGGATGAAGTGAGATCCCAGGAATCAAGTAGGAGTAGTAAGAGTAGCCGCAGATAGCCGCTACTTCATCCCAGTAGCAGGAGTAGCCGGAATAGGAGCTTGGAAAGATTGCAGTTAGAACTCTAGATGCAGAGTGAGGAGAGACAGTTCTAACTGGAAAGGTTGAAGTTAAAACTGCAGATGAAAAATGAACAAGAGAAAGAAAAAGAGAAAACCGGACTGGAAATGGAAAAGAGGAAACCAGACTGGAGGTAGAAAAAGAGGAAACCAGACTGGAGGTAGAAAAAGAGAAAGCCATACTAGAGGTGGAGAAAGAAAGAGAGGACCAAACAAATGCAGATAGAAGCAAATACAACCTTAGCTGAATAAAGAAATGAACATGGGTTGCCAGAGAGCACCACCCAGGTATCACACCCACCAGATAATAGGGTTAGGGAAAAGGATATTCCCCTGTTTGTGCCCGAAGAGGCAGAGAGATTCTTCGAACATTTCGAAAAAGCAGCCAATATCAAGGAGTGGCCAGAGGAGGAATGGGCCCAACTGGTTTTGTTGAGATTGACTGGCGCAGCCACTCGTTATTCAACAACATTGTCATAATTTTCTTGTTAACGACCTGATGATCCGCTAGTTCAGTAACAATATCATTCTCGGTCATGACGAACAAACCTCAGCTGTTAACATGTCTTTTTCAAGAAATCGTACACATGCCCGTTATAAATATCCTCTGTCTTACATCTGTGTTGAACGAGAACATTTAGACACCAAATCATGGACAGCCAAATCACATGGCCATCAACCACCAACAGGAGCAGCCTATCCTCCAAACAAAGACCCAAAATCCATTCCATGCAACCGCCAAACCCCCTTTTTATGAATGAAAAACGGTTTACACATGACTACCAACTGGTGACATCCGAACACTTCCGGAACAAGTGCTTAGCTGACGACTTTTGTTTGAACTACAACGCTGTAAATGCTTCACCCACATACTACAAATAATTGCCAACAGAACCTAAATACCTAGCCTATCCTAACCAGTGCCTAAATATGACCAATATGCTAATATATAATAATATTAATTTATATGAACAAATTTTTTTTTTAATAAACAGAATGTTAAAATTGATAAATGCCCTTTTGGGCTCGACTGCTGGATAGAATGGACTTGGTCCAAGGACGGGTTGAAAGGTGTGTGTTAAAGCACGTCTTCTCTCGTCGGTAGTCACTCCCAGTCTCCTTCTAATAATTGCTAATTAACAATTTTTTTCTCTAATCCAAAAATAAGTTTAACGAATGAGTTTCCACCACGCGTTATTCAACAACATTGTCATAACCTTCTTGTTAACGACCTGATGATCCGCTAGTTCAGTAACAATATCATTCTCGGTCATGACGAACAAACCTCAGCAGTAAACATGTATTTTTCAAGAATTCGAACGCAACTTCGTCGAGTCCCAGACCCAGTTGAATTTATAAGATTAACGAGTGAGTTATTAGCCAATTTACGAACTCAGCACCAAAAACAATTTTCGTAATCATGAAAGGAATGAGAATATAGTCAGAGCCAAAGAACCTGTAGCAGCAATGAATACAAATGTGGAAAAACGAGGACCATCCTAGGATCGCCCATATTCTACCCTGTGAAGGGCCCAGGTAATGAGCCATCGTTTGCTAGGAGCCATTGACCCATCCTAACCACTGATGGATTTCCCTTTGTGCCAGATGTACTTAAGAAAAAAATCCCATATTTATAAAATTTAAAAGATTGCCTTCGTGTGGTAACAAATCAAATAGTTAAAGCTCTGATCTCCTAAGGCTAATAAGGGTGGGTTACACTTGCCTGGTTCCTCACAGTGAGTACAATATTATTTACCAGAGTGTGAGACACAAATCCGTCCTGGCAATATCAGCGGCCGACGAAAGCAATCGTCAGCAACTTATCAAAAGAGAGCTTACCGAGTAAGATGCGAACCTGACCATTGGTTACTTAGTAATTTTGTGATAATAATACATTTGCTTGGTGTTGGATTTATGGCCTGTTTTTCCTTAGGAATGATATTTATGGTAACAACAGTAGCTTGTTTACCAACCAGCAAGTATTCTGTAGTCCACAAAATAGTCCAGCATTAAAGTTCATTGCCAGAGTAGTTATCATTATGTGCCCTTTCTTTTGTGAGCGGTGTTTATAGTGCAAAACTGTGTACACCATTAATGTTGAGTTTTATAACGAAAAAAAAAATATGTTGCAAAGGCTGCAAGTAGGTTTTATAGTGTAAAATAGAATCTATATGAATAAAAATGTAAATGTTTGTTTGTTCAAAATTGCTAATCTCCGAAAGATCTTCACCGATTGCTTTGAAAATTTTACACAACGTTCCATTCGCATATGAGCGTGTTTTGATATACCTACTATATAGATGTTATTCTGTGACAGGTAAAAACATGTTTCTTTAATGTGTTTTTCATGTGAGTTTTCATGTGTGGGAAATCTCTGAAACATCTTTATCGATTGCTTTCGAATTTTGACACAACGTTGCATTCAAATACCTGCATGTTTTTATATACCTACTATATACATGCCACACATGTGACAGGTCAAAATATGATTTTTTTTAAACACCGCCATCTGTTGCACATAAAAGAAACACTCGCTGTAATCTCTTAAAGCTCTTCGTCGATTGCTTTGAAATTTTGACACAACGTTACATTCGAATATACGTGTGTTTTTATATACCTACTATATAGATGCCACACCTGTGACAGGTAAAAATAATTTTTTTGGAAAAAAACAATGCCATCTTTTGCACGTAAAAGCAACACATGCTATTCTATATATGTTACGATTCCATTTCAATGTTTCTGATGGCATTGATAAATGAACTTTTTATAGATTTTGATTTACTTTCATTTTGTTTTAATTATTTTGTGTAACTCTGCATTGGAATTGAGCTGTGTTGTTTACCATACCGTTCATTTCGTGTGTATATTTTTTTTTTATTTTTCGTTTTTTTTAATTGGATTTTTTACCTGTTCATATTTTTCAGTGATGGGAACATCAGATCATTTTGGAACACATCGATCGATGGAGTGAAGAATGGTGGGGAGGACTAGGGGACAGGAGAGGGGGAAATGGTGAGTAGGACAAAGGGACAGGGGAATGGGGGATTGGAGAGGGTGAGGAGGACGAGAGGACAGGGATGGGGGAATTTTGGGGAGGACGAGAGGACGGCGGAGCGGGGGATTGTGGAGAGGACGAGGGGAGTGGGGAATGGTGGGAAGGACGAGGGGACAGGGGAATGGAGGATGGTGGGGAGGAAAAGGAAACATGGGAGGGGTGAATGGTTGGGAGGACGAGGGGGACGTGGGAATGGGAAATGGTTAGGAGTATGAGGAAACGGGGGGAGGGAGGAATGGTGGGGAGGACTGACGGACAGGAAATGATTGATGTGGCTCAGCAACGTTCATGTGTTGCTGAACCACAACAACGCATTGCTGGGTAAAGCGTGTGTATCAATAAATTTGTTTCTCTCCATAGGTGCATGCGCTGAGGATGAATTCAGCTGCTTAAATAGTTCTATCTGCCTACCCATGACGTGGCAATGTGATGACGTCCGTGACTGCGATGATAACTCCGACGAACTTTTTTGTGGTAAGTCGGGATGTGTGTTGCACTCGAAAGACTTCACTCAAATATCAACATTTATTAATACCTAATATTTCATAAATAATACTTCTAAATATTCTTAGCTTGAAATAGGAGAGGCCAGTACGCTCATTCACTGATCCATAGGTAACTTGACAAATGATTTGTTATCGTTACAATAAAGGAAATGTTAAGTTTACGTCTTAATTTGATAAATCAAACAAAAGATAATAATATCTTTGTCATATATTCTATGTTGTTGTCCTCTATTCTACTTGCCAGTTTTAGTTGAGCCAATAATTTTGAATACTGTAAATGGGATTAGTGGGATTAAAATTTGCCACATCTCCAGCTATTATCCATGATGCCATAAAGAGAAATATTGTATTATAAAGAAAGCAGAATAGAATTCATCAGATTGTATATTGCTTCAGAAAGCAGGCGACGTGACAGCATCATGCTGCACTTTACAAATTTATTAAATCAAATTATTGTAACACGGATAGGTATTGGTTCTTCTTTGTCCTTTACCTAGCCCGTGCATATGTTTACTTAAACATAATTCCAAGGGACCCCAGAGCTAACTCTCAGCCAAGTCCCACGCCACGTGGTCTTAACCGCTTGATCGGCTAAGATTCTACAACCATGTGACGTTGTACTAGGTTTCTAGCAAACTCAAGGATCTCTTTACGCCGCCACCACCAGACCATTAACCAAAAGCTGTCATTTTCTCGATGTCTGGACCAATTAATCAATCATTCAACCCTTGGGGCTTAATCCCCAAATTACTTGGAAAAGGGGGAAATAAATTTACGTTAAGTGTGTGAATTACAGAAAACAAGGGGATATATTAGCTCCTAAATTACGACCCAAATAAACCCAGACTGGTAGAGACCAAATGGCAAGGATATCAACACATGCAAAGTTATTCATGGAAATAATAAAATACCATAGAACAATCTAATCATTTATTTATACAAATCTAAAAAAAAACTAATAAAAATCACTCTCTGACTTAACACTCCCTAATATGACTATATAAAACTTTTAATATTCCCTACTGAGGCACGAATGAATTATTTCCCTATAACAAAACTCAGCAACTTTTACCTTGACTATGGAACCAGCCGATGGAATGCTAGTGAGTATCACTCCGCCAGGTCTAATAACTTTACTAAGCAGGGTTTAAATTGAACAACTAATGTCTATTGTACTGAACAACCCAGCTGGTTGAACACTTATAAAACTGATGGTAATTGTACAGGCATCTTAGGGAAAGGCTATTTCCAATTACAGTATTTGCTAGTGATCTGAATTTGAACTTTGTGAATTACTAATGTTATCACTCTCATGGGCTGCGTGACCTTTGACATGATGAGTCAACCGGGACCCAAACTAGTCCCTCCACATGTCGTCATTTCTCTGCCTATATATGACACTGATCTCCACCTTCATTCTATATACATGTAAACCCAACACACCTACATAAGCCCAATTAGTTATTACTGCATCATATTGACATATTCATTATATGTTGCTTTAAAACAAAGATGACAATCTTGTATTCTAAAGGTGTTAATCCCTAAATCCCAGGAGAGATAACTCATGCTTCCAAAGTCGGGTCGACTACGTTGTCACTGCATATTTTGAACAAGGGCGTATGCCACAGCCTTCCATACAATCACTTGAAGAAATATGGGCCAATAGGCCCTCTGCAATTACTTCCATTTTTACCTTCAATACCCATTGTTTCGTGTTCTATCCTGTGTTGAAAGTTTTGTTCACCTCATCCAAAAACTGTTGTAACATATCACCTCACCCAAAATCCGGGTATAAAATGAAAAATGAAAGCTGTTTAAATCATAGCATAAGTAAGAACTCTGTTTAGTGTTTGCAGGTAATAGTTGTGTGTGTGTCAACTAAAAGTCTTTGAAAATGTAATAAGTTATTACGAAACGCGTTCAAGTGTCGCGTCAGACTAGAAATAAAAATGAATTTTGGGGAATTGATTTTTCAATTACCATCAACAGTATATATATGTATATATATATGTATATATATATGTGTGTATATCACGAAAATGTATATATATATGTATATATATGTATATATATATGTATATATATATGTATATATATATATGTATATATATGTATATATATATATATGTATGACTGAAAACTCACACCCCAGAAGTGACTCGAACCCATACTCCCAGGAGCAACGCAACTGGTAACTACAGGGCGCCTTAATCCGCTTGACCATCACGGCCGGACAAAAGGAAGTGATAGCCAAGGCTATTTGAACCACTTCCCCGCCGGCAACTCGGATGGTAATCTTGGGCATAGCATTTCACCAAATCACCTCATTCTTTGGGGCACACGTGAGGAACACAAAGTACGATGTGTTCCTCACAAAGTACGATGTGTTTTTGTGTTCCTCACGTGTGCCCCAAAGAATGAGGTGATTTGGTGAAATTCTATGCCCAAGATTACCATCCGAGTTGCCGGCGGGGAAGTGGTTCAAATAGCCTTGGCTATCACTTCCTTTTGTCCGGCCGTGATGGTCAAGTGGATTAAGGTGCCCTGTAGTTACCAGTTGCGTTGCTCCTGGGAGTATGGGTTCGAGTCACTTCTGGGGTGTGAGTTTTCAGTCGCATATAGTCCTGGGGACCATTCAGGCTTGTTCGCATATATATGTATATATATGTATATATATGTATATATATATATATATATATATATATATATATATATATATATATATATATATATATATATATATATATATATATATATATATATATATATATATATATATATATATATATATATATGTCGTACCTAGTAGCCAGAACTCACTTCTCAGTCTACTATTCAAGGCCCGATTTGCCTAATAAGCCAAGTTTTCCTGAATTAATATATTTACTATAATTTTTTTCTTATGAAATGATAAAGCAACCCTTTTCTCTATGTATGAGGTCAATTTTTTTTATTGGAGTTAAAATTAACGTAGATATATGACCGAACCTAACCAACCCTACCTAACCTAACCTAACCTATATTTATAGGTAAGGTTAGGTTAGGTAGCCAAAAAAGCTAGGTTAGGTTAGGTTAGGTAGGTTAGGTAGACGAAAAAACATTAATTCATGAAAACTTGGCTTATTAGGCAAATCGGGCCTTGAATAGTAGGCTGAGAAGTGCGTTCTGGCTATTAGGTACGACATATATATATATATATATATATGTCGTACCTAGTAGCCAGAACGCACTTTTTGGCCTACTATTCATGGCCCGATTTGCCTAATAAGCCAAGTTTTCCTGAATTAATATATTTTCTCTAATTTTTTCTTATGAAATGATAAAGCTACCCTTTTCATTATGTATGAGGTCAATTTTTTTTTATTGGAGTTAAAATTAACGTAGATATATGACCGAACCTAACCAACTCTACCTAACCTAACCTAACCTATCTTTATAGGTTAGGTTAGGTTTGGTACCCGAAAAAGTTAGGTTAGGTTAGGTTAGGTAGGTTAGGTAGTTGAAAAAACATTAATTCATGAAAACTTGGCTTATTAGGCAAATCGGGCCTTGCATAGTAGGCCGAGAAGTGCGTTCTGGCTACTAGATACGACATATAAATATATATATATATATATATATATATATATATATATATATATATATATATATATATATATATATATATATTTTTTTTTTTTTTTTGTGAGGGTACCACCTCTGGTGCCAATGTGGGGACCCATAGCCTCGGAGAAGAAAATAAAAAGTATTCAGAGGAGACCTTGTGGTTTCTCACTGAACACTAATATTATCTCCTCCTACCACCCCCATTCTTTTGTATGTACACATATATATTTACTTTATTTGAACTTTGTTACAAAAAAGGAGTTACATATGGGTTACAAAGATGGTTGTCATAGGTTGTCGAGTTCCTCCAGCTCCTCAGATGGCGGGCAGGAACCCTGGATGCAGTGCGCATTTCCCCTCTGTATCGCCACACTGAGGCGCTGGAAAAGAAAGCTTGCAGCTCTCGGGTCCCTTGTTGTTTCAATGAGCCTAGAACCCAGTTCCTTCAAAAAACTGGTAGCACTTTTACCCCAGGCGCCGAGCGTCTCAGAAGCAATGGGGACAAAATTGTAGTGGTGATCCAGTTCTCTATACTTACGGGATTTGGCTGCTTCCCTGTGGGTGGCAGCGCCACCTGGTTGTGCAACACTGAGGTTAATGTAGGTGTTAGCCAGGGTTGATACGCACGTGTAGTCCCATACCAACTGCTTGCCATTCTTCCAGGGGTTCACTGTGATACCATCCGGGCGACCAATAAGAGCATCAGAGTTACGGGGCGTTAGGTAACGGGGCTCTCTTTCAGCTGGGCATCCAGCTGTGGTGAGGCTCCTCTTGATGATGTCGTTAACTTCACTGTGCCTCGAGTGCCATCCCCCTGTGCTATATATATATATATATATATATATATATATTTATATATATATATATATATATATATATATATATATATATATATATATATATATATATATATATATATATATATTATTATTAAATATGACCGAAAAAGTAAGATTAATAATTCTAACACGAATTTTCTCGATCTTTCTTATGTTTCTTTTCACTGTTGATGGTAAATTAAAAATCAATTCTCCAAAATTCATTTTTATTTCTAGTATGACGCGACATTTGAGCGCGTTTCGTAAAACTTAGTACATTTTCAAAGACTTTAGTTTACACACACACACAACTTATAACTGAATAGAGCTTAAACATCTTCGATTTTTTATACCTGCGTTTGGGTGAGGTGATATGTTACAACAGTTTTGGATGAGGTGAAAACAAACTTTCAACACAAGCCAGAACACGAAACAATGGGTATTGAAGGTAAGAATGGAAGTAATTTAGAAATGCGTTCTGGCTACTAGGTACGACATATATATATATATATATATATATATATATATATATATATATATATACCAAATGCCTATCCCTTCCGAGGCTAACCTACTTTCTGAGGTGCGCCCCATCTTACAATAACCCAAAGCTTGACGAGTATGACCTCCTACTGAAGACCATGCTGGAAAAAGTTGTTAACCTCTCTCTCAACGAATGCCAGTGGAAACAAGCCACTCTTCCTGTCAGGCTCGGTGGCTTGGGTGTCCGCACCGCCACCCAAATTGCAGTCCCAGCCTTCCTGTCTTCCTCCTCAGCATCAGATGACCTGGTTAAGGAAATTCTACCTGACACCCTGAGTGATGTAGCGGGGATACAGGACCCCCACTACACGGAATGTGACACGAAATGGGGTGCCATGACAGACCCAGCACTCAGACCAGCCATGCCGAAAGCCAAGAAACAATCCAGTTGGGACAGCCCCATTGTAGACAAAGAAGCCACAGCTTTGC